CTAAGTACCAAATCTGAGTTGTCATCTCCTGATCCACTACATCCAAGAAGACATGTAAAATTGGAAAAGTCTGCTTCGTTCAAGTTTTATAGGACTCTTAAAATAACACTGAATTTAGACTTTCTCTTGCAGCAGCTGAGGATGTACACCTTAAGAAAATTAATTTAGGAAGAGCATCTGGATGAGGATTAGATTATTAGTGCCCTAGAGACCAGTGTAAGATCTGCTGAAAATTGTTCTGCTGTGAGGGTTCAAGTGTGGAGGAGAGACCTGCCAGAAGAGCAAAGGTAGACTTGAGATCAGGAGAAAATACTTGATACTTATCAGAGTATTTTAGAAAAGTAAAAATAACATCAATTTGAATTCAGCATATTAGCTGATGAAAGTGAAATGTTTGGTCCCAAGTCTAGTCCAAGTCTTAATTCCTTAGTTACCCACTACTTAGTATACATTCATAGCAATAAGAATCAGAAAATCAAGTAAGAATCCAGTTCATTCAACAAATGAATTGAGCATCTCAATGTTCCTAGATGTCAACAAAAGCTTCCTTATACTTTTTGTATAATTTCTCTAACCTTGTTTTCGTCTTGAATCAACCAAAATCAAAGCAACAAGGAGACACACCAAAACTAACTTCAAGAGTACCTTCATGATACTGGATTCAAATCAATGACTTCTCAGGAAACAGAAAATGAGAGGAGGCTGGATTGCCTCACAGGACTTGATAGCTCACAATGAACTCGGGTGTTGCATATGCCCACCTCTCAGGCCTGATCATAAACTCAGCCCAATTTCCTAAAATCTAATCCTTTACCAATCACATAGGTTCTAACACTGAAAGTAAAGTAAGACCTTAAAATTAGTTATGCCCAGATAGCTGTTTCTTCTTTTAGGTCTATGGTAGTGACAGAGCAGGAATTATTTTCAATTCTCACTGCATGTTTTTGTTTTTGTTTTGCTTTAGGGTATCAGTCATCGTAGGGGTGATTTGAGCAGCTCCAGGAGACTCTGACTTACTGATGTGCCTGAACTTTCACTCACAACCCTTTGCATTCAGCATTTCATCAATCCACCTTATTCCCTCTACTTGTATGCTTGATCCTATCTTCACTTTCTCCTGCAAACCACTCCATTTCTATTCATCCATTTATAGCCAAACTTCTAGGAAAAGCAACATTTCTGGGTTTCTTTCCTCTCATCCTCTCCTAAGCATGATCCAACAGACTTTCACCTACACCACTCCACCAAAACCACAAAAGCGCCCTCCGTATTGTGAGACTAATGGTCAATTCTTAGTTCTCATCCTACTTAACCTTTCACGAACAATAGATATGGTCCATGGCCCCCCACTACTTAGTTTCCAGGAACTCACTCTATCCTGGTTTTACTTCTAGTCAGTCTATCCTACTGACTTTTCTTTGGCTCATTTGCAGGTTCTTCCTCCTCTCACCTACCTAACATTGAAAATACCAACATTGGTCAAGCCTTAGACCAATTCTCTTTGTTTTCCTCACTTAATTGCTTTTAATTCATTCAGTCTTATTGGCTTTAAGTATTATTTTTGCTGAGAAGTCCAAATTTTCAATATTCAGCCTGGACCTTTCTCTATGATCTCCAGACCCATATACTCAACCACTTACTTGCTATATCCTCTTGGAAATCTAATGGGCATCTCAAACTTTACATGTTCAAAACAGAGTTCCTAAACCAGCATCTTCTACTTTCTAGTAGCTCAGGCTAAAAATCGTAGTCTTTCCTCATACCCCATATACAACTGTCCATAAATCTTTCTCACTGCACATTCAAAATATATCCAAAATCTGAACACTTCCTACCAATTCTACTACTACATCTAACCAGGGTTTCTCGACCTCTGCACTATAGACATTTGGGGCCAGATCACTTTTTGTTGTGGGGTTGTCTTGTACACTCTAGAATACTTAACAGCATTCCTTGCCTTTATCTCCTAGTCCCAGTGGTTTTCACAAACAAAACTGTCTCCAGACATATCCTGTGGAAGATAAAACCGCCCCTGTATAAGAGCCATTGGCTTAATACGTAATTACCTCCCACCTGGATAAATGACCTAAATAGTCTCCCTCTTTCAGCCCTTGCTCCCTCTTAAGTCTATTTTCCACATGGCAGCTAGAACAATCCTGTTAAAAATACAAGTTCAATCATGTTGCTCCTCTATTTGAAACTTTACAATGGCTTCACATCCTGTTTCAAATAAAAGCCAAGGTTGTCACATCACCTTTGGGAAATCATTATCATCTACCACTTCACTCCCATTGTCTTTTTTTACCTTCTTTCTTACCCCTCTCCCCTCTGAATATATGGGCCATCTTGATCCATGAACACCTAGGCCATGCTGTTTCCCTCAGAGACTTTATATCAGCTGTTTCCATACTCTGAAATAACCCTCCCTTAGTGACCTGCAAAGCTCACTTCCTTACTTCATTTCTTTACTCAGTCATTACTTTATCCTTACCTGTAAACATATGCAAAACCCCAACCTCTACCTGAGTACCAACAACCTCTTCTTTTTTTTTTTAAACTTAGCATTTACCCCTTCCAAGGTGTCAGGTTGCAAGAAAGACACAATTTATACACAGGCATTGGATGGGACAATGCTTTACTCACATAAAGACACAGAGCAAGATCGGTTTCAATAGTAGGCATCATCCCTCATGGCCAATGGGTCATTCCCCTTAGCAGTCAACAAAGGGATAATAGTCTGCACGTACCCCTCTCGTACTGCAGGAGAAGGACTCCATTCCCTCCCTGCAGGGAACAGATACAGAATGGGGTCGGCCAGGTGCCATATGACACAAAATTAAGCACTGTCATGGTTAAGGTTGTGTGTCAACTTGGCTGGGCCATGATTCTCAGTGGTTTGGCAGTCGTATGACACTGTTACCTCCATGATGGGATCTGCTGTGAGTAGCCAGTCAGTTGAAAGGGAGTTTCCTTGGGCGTGTGGCCTGCATTGAATGTAAGTAGACATTCTGGCAAGTCTCATGGGCTTTTTGCTCACGCTGGATCCTGCAGCTGGCTCCTGTGCATCTGACCTCAGTTCTTGGGACTTGAGATAGCAACTACCTGCGGTCTTACCTGCCAATCCTAGAATTCATTGATCTTCACAGCCTGTAAGCAAGAGCCCTGCTCTCTGACCTGCCTTTCTTGGTTTCACCAGCCCCTGTGGCTACGTGAATCAGGAGAAGCCTCTATCCTGACCCACGGACTTGAGATGTTTCAGCCTCTATAACCACATGAGCCATTTCTTTGATATAAATCACTCTCTCTCTCTTTCTCTCTCTCTGTATATATGTATTTATATACTTTACTGGTTTTGCTTCTCTAGGGAAGCCAGCCTAAGACAAGCAGTAAGCAGATTGTGTACCCAGAATAGGGAAGGAGTTTCCCTGATATGGAAGAAGAAGAAACTGGGACAGAGGGAAGTTTGGTTCCTAGCCTCCATTATCAGGGAATGTTCCAGGCCCAAAGCTTCTGATTAGGCAGTCCAAGTAGGGGTCAGAAGGCCACCACTTTCCCAACACTATAGAACTTACTTTTGTTTTATTTATACTGTCTCCTCCAACTAAAATGTAAACTCCATGAAGGCATGTTTGTGGAATGAATGAATGTATATGCATTATTACCAGATACAACTATGACTAAGCCTTAGCTGAAGGGCATGAATCACCCACAGAGCAGAAGAGAGTTAGGAAATTTGCCCTTAAACACCTCTTTATAGGAAGCATTGAAACTTAAAATGACACACAAGTCAGTCCTTCAATAATTTGAGATAATCACATATTAGAACACGTTTTATTCATACATAAGACTTCACAAAGTGAAAAGCAGGGGAAGCCCCTTTTTAAAAAGGAAATATAGTAAAACCTGCAAAAGCTGGAACCTGTGTAAGATATAAACCTGTCAGAGAACGAAAACATTCACTGGGTGTTTATGAGGAAAACTTGCAAGACCCAGAAAAACAAGGCAGTCCCGTCAAGTTCCAGCTCTCACAGGTTTCACTGTATAAGAAGGCAAGGTGCCATTTTATTTAAAATTTTAAATTATTTTTAAATGCAAGAGAGGTGGGGTATCATTAGGTCTTTGCCGGTTTCTTAAGTTTCTACCAAACACCACACCAAGTCCTCAGTCCTGAGCAGCCACCGCATCAGAGATTCCAAGTTGCCTCTGAACATGGGAGTGGAAAGCCCAACCTCTTCTCTCACAGAAAAGGTACATCACTTGATAAATAAGGAAATGTAACATTTATATTCTCCTTGAAATGAAAGAGAGTCAAAAATAGGTCTCAATGGAAATGTAACATTCATATTCTCCCTGAAATGAAAGAGAATCAAAAATAGGTCTCAACGTAAACATTACTTAGTCATTTCTCTCTAAGACCCTGTTTTTCATAAGCAAAGCAGTATATGTGGATGTTGGGAGAATAGGCTGGAGGTGAGAAGGGGAGAATAATTTGAGAAATAAAAGAAATGTTCTGTCCTGGAGACCATATTCTTAGGTGTGCAATGACTGAAGTGCAATGCATGTATAAGCGAAATGATACTTTTGCCTCTTTAAGCTATGAAGCTCATCAGGACTATCCTAGTTACTCTCTCTAAAACATAGCTCTATCCCTTCATTAGAAGCCCTGGTGGCACAATGGTTAAGAGTTTGACTGCTAACCAAAAGGTCAGCAGTTCGAATCCACCAGCCACTCTTTGGAAACCCTGTGAGGGAGTTCTGCTCTGTCCTATAGGGTCGCTATGTGTCAGAATCAACTCAACGGCATAGGGTTTATCTCTTCATTTATACCCAAAGATTAACATACATTATGATTTTTCATACTATTCCTTCATATGTGACTCAAGAATTAAGAACCAGACTGTCTTATAAGCATTTGGTACTTCCTGGAAGAAGCTGTAACTAAGCTTTACAACACTTCCAACTTTACTTCACCAGCATAGCTAAGCCACCACACTTTATAGGCTCCGGATTGATGCTCATTGTTTCTTAGGATTCAAAACTTTATTGATATTAAATTTGATGGTGTTTCTCCTTAGCATTGATCATGGAATTTCATAGGATACCTAAGAGGGACAGCTCCTATTTAAATGGGATTCCTACCAGTTAATGACAGATTAATGAGACCACCATGACCAACAATACGATCAACAAAGACGAATGCATGAATTTGTCATGTGTATTTAGGCACAATGCACCTTATTACAAATACATGATGCTTCGTTGTCAAATTGTATTGGTTCTTATCAATGACATGCCTGGCACAATCTTAAAATGCCAGTTCTGAGTATCCTTACCATGGGCAAACCGCAGAAGTGACTACCATGTCTCCTCCTTGGCCTGTGCTTTCAGCTTGTATTTTCACTTGTATATCCCATCCATTATCACTGTCGGTGTCACTATCTCTTATTTCAACATCATTGAAAAAAGGATTATGACTAAAATGATTTAAAAAAAGAGAGAGAGAGAGAAAGAGACAGAAAATACAGAAATATCACATGGGGCTTAAGATCTATTCAGACTCCAACGTTCACAAACTGAACTTGAGGCCAAATCCCTTTACTGGCAGATGTATTGGTATTTGCACCAATATCTGTGGTGCTAAGGAGCACGACTTAACACTTTATAGATCCTCCAAACTTTCAGATTCTTCACTTCCTGATTCCACTATCTGCCAAGAAATGATCTTGGGCAAATAACTTTTCTGTGCCTGAAGTTCCTCATCTGTAAATTGGCATAATAACATGTACCTCATTGAGCTGTCATGAGGAACAAATACCTTCATACAAATAAAGTTCTTGAACAGTACAGGGAATATAGTAAGTGAGTAATATGTTAGCTGCCATGATCGTCATCATCCTCCCACCATCTGTGGGAAGAGCACTATGGGGTGTATCTTTTCTGTAACCACTGGGAAAAAGGATTCTCAGTTTGAGATTTTAACCAAAAAAAAAAAAAAACCTAATGGAAAAATTTCCCAAACAAAGTCCTACTAAGTATATTATAATTTTACTAAGACTTGATGAAAGTTGTTATTGATCTAAACCTCTTAGACTTTCTCAAAAGGATCAACTAATAGGGCACAAAAAGAGACAGTCTCTTAACCTGTGGGTTCTGTTCTAGTGTATTTTCTCTTACCACAGCTTGACTCCCTGCTGAGTTAAATGTTCCACTGAGCCTTATCCCTTATATATTTCTTTCAGAAATCTTGAATGTGGACTCTAGCTTAAAACTAAAATAATCTGATTTAGCTGGCAAAGATCTATCAGGTTTTTGGTGACCCTGACATTTGTATCGAAAAATGAATCATCATCCCATTTTTCAGTATTCCAAGTCCCTGGGTGGTGCAAATGGTTAAGAGCTCAACTACTAGCCAAAAGGCTGGCAGTACTAACCCAACCAGAGGTACCTCAGAAGACGGGCCTAGCGATCTGCTTTTGAAGATCACAGCCTTGAAAACTCTGTAGAGCACAGTTCTGCTCTGACACACATGGAGTCGCCATGAGTTGGAACGAACTTTACGGCAACTACAAAAACAGTATTCTTATATTCTAGAGGACAACTGTAATAACTTTTGAAGAATACAGGGCCAGGGATCAAAAGATTTATGTTTTCATTAGGGTTTGATGTCCACCCCCTACACCTGGTTGTGCAATTTAACCTTTCAGATTTGGATTTCTTATCTAGAAGGTAGAGATGACGCTGGGAGGTGGAACAGGAGTCTAGCATACTGTACTCACTGGTGAACAACACATGATAAGGGCATTTCAGCTTGGTTGTTGGAGATTTTTGAGATGTACTTGATTTTAGTTTTAAGCAGAAGAGTCTCTTGGAGAATCTGAGGGAACAAAAAACAGCTTTTAAACAAATGTTTGTCTCAAGTGTCTCAGGAAGTTTAAAGGCGCTTAAATAGGAATTTATAGATCCTTCAAGCTCTCTAAAAATGATCACACTCTAACGAATATAAGGAGCATCCATCTGTGGGAAGCAGGGCCATTTTCTAACTGGACAGGTGGATTAAAACCTGACATGATGCTTGTACATAAAAGGCAACCAATATGTGTTAGTTGTAAGAAGAAAGATCTTTGTGATCATATTCAAGGGAGTGTCTGTTTACACCTCTTTTTGAGAAATAAATTTGTAGAGGAAGCAATGCATAGTGTAAACAGTGCGAGTCTTGAGATCATATAAACCTGTGTTGGAACCTGGGCGCTGTCTCTACTCACCATGTATCCTTGGGAATTTTGTTTAAACAACTAAACCCGCTTCCTCATTTCCAATTAAAAAAAATTTTTTTAAACCATAACAATAATCATGGTGGTAAGGAAGAAATACTGATGAATTTGTCAGCATATGTGGTTGTTAGGTGCTGTCAAGTCAGTTCTGACTCATAATGATCCTATGTACAACAGAACAAAACACTGCCCAGCCCACTGTTGCAGCCGCTGTGTCAATCCATCTTGTCAAGGGTCTTCCTCTTTTTCGCTGACCCTCTACTTTACCAAGTATGACATCTTTCTCCAGGAATTGGTCCTTCCTGATCACATGACCAAAGTACATGAGATAAAATCTCTTCATCCTCACTTCTAAGAAGCACTCTAGCTGTTAGTCAGCATATAGTAAATGCTTAATAGGAGATTAGCTGTTTTCAGAGGGGAAGGAGTTAAGATAAGGCAATTAATAGTAAAAAATTTTCCTAAGGATGTTTAGCACATGGTTCTCAATAGAGGCCCTAGTCCTTTATTCCACAGCAGGATAAGATGAATCAAAGGTACTCATATGGATGATACAATTTTAAACATGTCTCTATTTTCTTCAGATATTATCATGTTCCTTTTTAGATCACTGGGGAAATATAAGCATAGATAAAATGGAATTCACCCATTATAACCACTCACAGACTGCATCAGTTAATACACGGATATCTCCCCTGCTTTTTTCCCTCCAGTGTATATTGACGTTGATGATGCTCCCCTAATACTTGCTGTGATGGACCCTATGATGTACTGCCCACCTCCTCCTTCAGAAATGGGCTTGCTGCCCCAGCTGGTGGGATTGGTCAGCAGACAGCCTTCAGCTCTCAGCCCTTGGAGATTGTCTCAGCTGTAGAGAGCTGCCTTGCCCAAGGTCACACCCCTTTCCTGGGGTGGCCCACTTCCAATGGGCTGATCTGCATGGAAATGTAAGGCTCCCTGCAGGGTCAGCCAAAGCTGTCTTTGAACTTGCAACATAGTTCAACATCTCCCTTTACCCACTGTCCTTTCTCTTTCCTTTCACCAAGTATTGCTCCCAAAGACACTTCTTAATAAACACCTTACACGCAAAAGACCAAGGAGCCCTGGTGGTGCAAACGGTTAAGCATTTGGCTGCTAACCAAAAGGTTCGTGGTTTGCTTCACAGGAGAAGGACTACTGTCTGTCACATGGGGCGACTATGAGTCGGACTCAACGGCACCTAACAACAACATGCAAAGTCCATCTCCAAGTCAGTTTTCCATGGAATCCAATCTGTGACATTCATCTAGATCTAACAAAGTTCTATTACTTCTCTTAACATTTTATATGTAATACCCGTTGCCTCCAAGTTGATTCTGGCTCATAGCGACCCTACAGGACAGAGCAGAACTGCCCCATAGGGTTTCCAAGGAACGGCTTGTGGATTCAAACTGCCAACCTTTTGGTTAGCAGCCTGAGCTCTTAATCACTGTGCCTCCAGGGCTCCCTTTATTTGGAATAGTGAATAAAATAATAAGTTACGTTATAGCAAAATATCAATGACTGCTAAATTTTTTTTTTAATCAAACCAAAACCCCAATTATACTTTTAGCAGTGGTATGCATAACTGACCTATGAGTGTGCCCAATAAGGCATATGAAAATCCGGTTAAGTGGGGCTTGGGGTGGTAGAGTGTTAAAACGTTTACTTTGAAAAGCCTTCTTATGTTGGACTAGTGTTACTCCCTTCTGGTCACAGTTGGCCAAATTTCATGAATTATAATGTATAAGAAGTCTGTGAGACAGTTTGATAAATTAATGATGTGTGGTAAAACTTTTCTCCTTTCAAGCCTGTCAGCTCTCCAACCTGCTCCATCTCTGGTTGATCTTTGTATCTACAAAGTACACATTAGAAATTATGCCCTGTTACTGCTCAACAAGAGAAAAAGTATTCAGCATCTCCTTTCTTAACATTTTCTGTCCTGAATATGACTGGCAGAAAAATCAGTATAGCCATACTACAAATAGAAACTTAGTGACTTCTGGTTTGTGGGCCCATTGAAGGAACCATAAGACAGACACGCAGGTTTTAACTAAAATAAGTCATTCCTCTTACTTTAGTTATGATGCCACAGTCATAAGAATGGTAGAAAAACTCATAGAAAACATCTGGTTCAAAACGGGTTACAGCACAGTAATCTCCTAAAAATGCTTCATCAGGTGCCATATAAATATTGTGAAATATCGTGGGTTTAATCTTGGCATAGAACCAAAAGTAGCTGCATTGTACTTGCACAGCTAAGAGAGAGAAAAAAGAAATTTTCATTAGTGTTGCTATTACACACATCAGCTCAGAGAATTTCAGCATAGCCAGTTAGCACAATGAAGAGCTCATCCCTCTACTAAAGTAAAATATGTCTGCAAAAGATGGTCTCCATATTATTGCCTTGCTCCCTGAAAATACCCATAAATATACCCATCCTTCAAAGAGCTACTGTAGCAAATCCATATATGAAAAAAATAAAACACAAAATAATATCTTATGATCCAACTCTCCGAAGTCTTCTTTTTACATATAGATTCACTGAAGTGGCATCAGAAGAGTATAGCTATGTTATGGCATTTATACTGAGAACTATAGAGCATGTTCTATCTCTCCCATTGACCGGAAGCTCTTCTAAGCAAGACTTTGTTTCCATTTATGTAGCCACAGTTTCGTGATAATATAAAAGTAGGCACTGAGGGTTGATGAGGCAATAAAGACTTGTCTAGAAATCTAAAACCTATCAAAACACTATAACTAAGTATTCACAGAAATTAAGTGACTATAGTGCTTTATCCTTCCCCATCGAACTTGGAATATCTGGACAGTAAGGTTTTTATCTGAGAAAAGGAACAATTTTCTGACCTAATCTGCTATCTAGGCTAGATTCCAGGAGAAGACAGTTAGAACAACCCAGAAATCATGGGATTAAGTAGGACATGAGGGAAAAGGGGGTGAAGTGGTCATTTATCTAGACCTCACTAAAGGTCAATCTTCTCAGTTATTCTTGGGATACTGGGCAGAGCCCTAAGACCTCAGGAGTTACTCAAAAAAATTAGCCAAATGGAAACTATATACCCTCTTACCCTCCCCCACACCTCTGCAAAAAAAGAAAAGGAAGCCAAAGAGTCAAAATTCAGGTCTGGGGAATATACAAACAGAATTTAGCAATATATAAAAAGAATTATATACCATGACCAAATGAGGTTTACTCCAGGGATTTAAGGTTGGTACAATATTAACAAATCTGGCAAAAGAGGAAAAATCACATAATATAAATTGATGCCGAAAAAAACATTTAATAAAATTCATGATAAAAACTCCCAGAAAACTAAGAATAGAGGGAAACTTCTTTAACTTGAGGAAGCGTATCTACAAAAACAAAACAAACACTACAGCTTACATCAGCTTACATAATACCAGTGGTAAAAGACTGAATGCTTTCCCCCTAAAACTGGAAACAAGGTAAGAGGATGGGATGTCTGCTCTCACCTCTGCTATACTGGAAGTTCTAGCTAGCACAATAAGGTAGTATGAAAATGAAATAAAAGACATACAGATTGGGAAGAAATGAATCTGTTCATATTTGTTGATGAAATGATTATCTACATAGAAAATCCCAAGGAATCTATAACTAAAGTCCTAGACTTTTTAGCCTAAGAACTAAAAAATAAATTCAGCAAGATTGCAGGGTATATGATCAATATTCAAAAGACAACTGTATTTCCATATAATAGCAATGAACACTTTTAGACACCAAAATTCAAAATATAATACCATTTGCAATCACTGAAAAAGAACTTTGGTGTAAATCTAACTTGTATGTGCAGAGCTCGTATGCTGAAAACTACAAAACGCTTACAAAAAAATCTAAAAGATGTAAATAAGTGGAGAGACATACTATGTTCGTGGATTGGAATACTCAACATAAAGATGCCAACTCTCTCCGAAATGATAGATTTAATGCAATTCCTATCAAAATCCAGAAAGATTTTTCTGTAGCTATAGACAAGATTATTCTAAAATTTACATGGAAAAGCAAAGGAACTAGGATAGCTAAGACACTTCTGGAAAAGAAGAATAAGGTGGGAGGAATCAGTCCACTCAATTTCAAGACTTATTATATAGCTACAGTATCAAGACAGTGATATTGGTGGACAGACAAACACATGGATCAATGGAACAGAATACAGAACTCAGAAATAGATTTAAACAAGTACGCCAAGTGATTTTTGACAAAGTTTCAATAGTAGTGGAGGAAGAATAGTCTTTTCAAAAAATTGTGTTGGAGCAATCAGATATCCATAGGCAAAAAAAATAAACTGCCGTAAACCTCACACTTTATAAAAAATTAACTCAAAATGGATCATAGACTTACAGACAAAATGTTTTAGAAAAAAAAAAATAGGAGAAAATCTTCAGGGTATGGGGCTAGGCAGTTTTTAGACTCAATACTAGAAGCACAATGCATAAAATAAAAAATTGGTAAATTGGATTTTATCAAAACTTAAAACTTACACTCTGTGAAAGACCCTGCCAAGAAAATGAAAAGATATGCTGTATACTGGGAGAAAATATCTGCAAATGACATAGCTGACAAAGGACTAGTATCTAGAATATAGGGTGCAATATTGTACTATATAGTTTTGCAAAATGTTATCATTGGGTGAAACTGAGTACACTTGCGCTCTCTGTATTATTTCTTACAATACATGCAAGATGGATTGACACAGTGGCTGCAACAATGGGCTCAAGCATAACAATGATTGTGCGGATGCTGCAGGACTGGGCGGTGTTTTGTTCTGTTGTACAGAGGGCTGCTATAAGTCAGAACCGACTTGACCGCACCTAACACATGTAAATTTTAAAATTTTTAATTAGCATAAATTTTTTTTTAAAACATGAGTTATTATGTCACACTCAGACTGGCAAAAAGACATTCCTGAACACCAAATGTTGGCAAAATTGAGAAGAGCTTTCTTACTTCCTGGAGGAATATACTCTGGTACATCCATGCTAGAGAAGAAGTGAGCAAAACCTCACCAGTTTTCAGATCTGTACACCCTATGGCCTCAGGATTCCGTGCCTAGGTATGCAAAAAATGCTCAAGTACAAACATTACTTGTAACAGCTAAACAGTACAAAATTCTAAATGTCTATCAATAACAGAATATACACAATTTGTGATATAGCCATTCAATGAAATACCATGTAGTAGTTAAAATAACCAACACTACACATACAAATCTCTAAACAATGCAGACAACAACCAAAAAAAAAAAAGTGTAGAACAAAACAGAAACAAAAGTTTAAAAATGTCTGAAAAAATACTTATGGATATGTAAATTTGTGGTAAAATTATAAAACACTCAGGGATGACCACAGGGGCTTCAACTCAACTTAAACTTTTACTTCTAGCAGAAAATAAAATGTAAACAAATGTAGCAAATTATTAAGGATTTAATAAAGGTGGATAGTGGGTAATGGATATATAAATTTCCTATAATGTCTGTTTTAAATATTTCCAACATAAGTAAGAGAAAAGCATAACAAATATACTAAGATCCCTACAAGTGCTCACACAGTAGGTCCAGGTGATCTTGTGGAACAGGTAATTTGACAAGAACACATATAAACTCTTAGCAACTCTGAAGTTTCAGCATCAGAAACTCTGACAGCCAAAGGTTATGTGTAGGGTGACCAACCATCCGGTTTGCTCAGAACAGGAGACTTTCAGTGCTAACACAGGGGAATGTCCCGGCTAAACCGGGACAGTTGGTCACCCTACATTGGTCACCCTACATAAAAGACACAAACTGCTCCCTCTCAAACACAATGGATCTATGAATAGCAAGGTGAAGGACAGTTGAGCCCTAGGTAAGTCTTCCTTCTTGTGTGTTACACCTCACAGGCAGAGTCCTGATGCCCTAACTCCTCCCATGGAAGTTTTCTCTGCTTTCCAGTTCACCCCACAACCGTATATTCAACCCACAGTCATGTATTTGAGCACCAAGCCCACTGGCGTCACTAGGGTTGCTGTCACTCAGTGCTGTAACGCATTGTGTCAACCCCCCTCCAGAGCACATGCAGAGGAAACCCATCACTGAACTCCTCCATGGGGCAGCGGTGGAAGAGGGGGCAAAGGGGTGGGGGGTAAGGGGCGAGGGAATGGGGAGAGGGTGTGAAGGGGGAAGAGGGGTAAGGGAAGAGGGGAGAGATGTGGGGAGCTGAGAGTGAGCAGGGCCTCCCACTGCTCCACACTCGAGCACGTGCCCAGCGCCCCCTCCATAGCCTCCATGGCCTCCATGGCCTCCTCCACCTTCCCCTCCTCCTGGTAACATCCAGGTCCCTGCCAGTCTGAAAACTCTGGGCCTGTACAAAGATGGTGGCAGCTGTGCTGAGCTAGCGCTGGCATTGGGAGTTGAAAGAGGGCGAGGGAGGGCAGGAAGTTGGAGAAAGAAGGAAGCTCTCAAGGTAGGGTGCATTCTCTGGTCTCAGGGCTAGTATTCAAGAGGAGAAACATAACATCCCAAGACCAAGCATCTAAAAGAGACCACCCCCTGCCCCAAGGATCCTTAGTTGTTACTAGGATTCAACCAGATCAAAACTATGAAGAATCCAAAAATCACATTAAAAGATCTTTCTTTCAGCAATGTTAAGAAACCCCTGTTCTCTGAGTCATATATTATACCTGACCAGTCCCCAGCACAAGTCCACATCAAGGAAAGGAGAAACAGCCCTCTGAAGCCCAGAAAAGCCTTCATCTGCCCAAACTGGAAGCCAAACACCACTCAGGAAACAGGAGGGTGGAGGAGTAGGCACACTTAAATACCAAAATAGCTGAAGAAGCACTCAGGAGTGAGTAATTAACTACCACTCTGGAAAGCACACACATGCAATAAATTCACTATTAGTTCATTTTCTAAGATGTTAACTTTTTAATTCAAATTTCAAAGGACAAGAGTGAAGGCAAAGTCAAATGCGGTATATGAGTGTTCCCTTGGAACTAGGAATTCTGAGGCCCTGAAATTCACACACAACTTTTAATGATGATTATTTAGAGCCCCCGGGTGGTGCAAACAATTAAGTTCTCAGATGCTAACCAAAAGGTTGGAGGTTCAAATCCACCCAGAGTCTTCTCAGAAGAAAGGTCTGGTGATCTATGTCCAAAAAATCAGCCATTGAAAACTCTATGGAGTGCAGTTCTTCTCTGACACACATGGGGTTGCCATGAGTCAGAGCTGACTCAACCACAACTAGTATTTAAGTATAAGAAGCAATTCTTTTAGCAATGATCCAAAGATCAATGGGAGGCTGTACATTGCTTGCTTTAGAGTCTGAATCATCAAATGTGGGACTCTGTCCAGGTTGATTTTTGCAGAATGTAGAAGTTGTCAATAGACTTCCAGCCCTGTGGGCTCCTCCTTCCTAGGTTGATAAAACTGGACAACTGCAGCTGCTAGAGTTGTCCCTATTAGCATTCCAAACAAATTTGTAGAAAAAAAATCATAAATTTGGGGGAAAAAAATGGCTCCACCAGTGGATGATTAAGTACATCATTAGGTCAGGAAGAGCTGTGTGACATCCCAGGTTAGTATCAAAAATTGGCCTGTGGATTAACTTCTATTCAAGATGACAGTTCTATTAGCACCACATAATGCTCTGTTGGGCTCATTTTATCTGACACTATGGTTTTCTACACCCAGTGATCAGGAAAGAGTCAGACTTCAGGGACTGAAGCTGACAATATGTTAAAGGCTTTCTCTTGTCTCTGAATTGGGTTAATTGAATACATCTGAGTGTGGCATCAGCTATAAAACCACTTGAGGTTTCCCAGCTCCTCTCAACTTCCTGGTGCCTGAGATATTCTTAGCCTGAGATCTAGCATAATGAAAGCCTTTGTGGAGTTAGGAGGACTGCTGCTTCTACTTGTTTTCTTGATTTGGACATGTTCTGGGCAAGAGCCAGGTATAAGAGTGGACCTTGGCTGGTGGTGCTTTGAAGGGGTAGTTTCTCAATGACCATAAGCCATGGGGCTTCTGGTAGCTTAGATGTGACTTTTCCCTCCCAAAACTTAAGAACTCAATGGTTTCCATTAGCCCATGCTTTTTCCTCTCCATGGGTCCAGCTACTACTGCTGAATGGGGGTTGTACTCATGTTGCTGTTATTTTCTCTGAATGTTCTCAAATGAGTTAATCTCTCCTCTTCTCCTGACACCTCTTCCTACTTGTCAGCTACTGGTTGTCATTGTTAGGTGCCACTGAGTTGATTTTGACTCATAGTGACTCCAGGTGACAGGAGAACTGCCCCATAGGGTTTCCTAGACTGTAATCTTTACAGATGGAGCCCTGGTGGCACAGTGGTTAAAGTGCTCAGCTGCTAACCAAAAGGCTGGCAGTCCGAACCCACCAGCCACTCCCAGGAGAAAGATGTGGTGGTTTGCTTCTGTAAGGATTACAGCCTTGGAAACCCTATGGGGCAATTCTACTCTGTACTATACAGTCGTTGTAAGTTGGAATTGACTCAACAGCAATGGGTTTGTCTTTTGTTGTTATTTGTTTAATCTTTACAGGAGCAAACTGCCAGGTCTTTCTCCCATGGAGTGGCTGGGTGAGTTTGAACCACCAACCTTTCAGTTAGTAGCTGAGCAGTTAACCATTGTGCCTCCTGGAATTTCCCAGAAAGCAGGGCTTTGAACCAGTTCGTTTCAATTTGAACCCCTGCTGCAAATTTGCATTTCCATCTCAGATATACTGAATCAGAATCTACACTTCAACAAGATCCCTAGGTGATTCTTGTTTATAATAAACCACTGCTCTGCTAGTGGTTCTCAGAATTGGTCCCTAACCAACCGCATTAGCACTGCCTGAGAACTTGTTAGAAATGCAAATTCTCAGCAGGGGTTCAAACCTGAATGAAACAGTTTGAAGCCCTGCCAGAAAGTCATCCTTGGACCATCTGCTCTTCTGCATGACTTTCTCTTCCCACTATTGGTACCTCATCCATCCTTTCACCACTTCACACCTGAATTACTTAATCACATATTCTTAACTTACATCCCTTATCTAACTGCCCCCTCTCCCTCCAGAACACTGCTGAATAAATTTTCTTAAAATACAGCTCTGACCAAACCTCTTCTTAAAACTCCAGTGCTTCCCTTCAGCCACCTAGCTGAAGCACAGACTGGCCTTCAGCATCCTATAAAGACTGACCTCAATCTACCTTCAGAGCTCACATGTCTGAATGCACCTTGAACAACTAAAGGAGGTACTTTCGGACAGCTTGTTCCCCCACTTGCATGGAATCTTTCTCTAGCACCTGGGGAGAATCTGGTGCAGAACCTTCTGTAACACAGACCATGCAGACCACAGAGACTTGGTCATTTGAGAGGAAGCAGATGTTAATTTTTAAATCGTACAGATATATAAGCTGTTCTTAAACTGTTCTAAATGCTCTAAAGGCAAAGTAGATGGGGTAAATGGTTTGCACTTGACTACTAACTTAAAGGTTAGTGGTTCAAACCTCACCCAGGGGTAAGGTGGAAGAAAGGCCTGGTGATATACTTCCATTAAGATTACAGCCAAGAAAACCCTATGGAGCAGTTCTACTCTGTAGTACATGGCACTGCCATGAGTCAGAATCAACTCGATGGCAAGGGGCCACTATGTGACACACAGTCATGTGTAAAAAGTTAAAGCATGGGATCTACCTTCAAGGACACCAGGTAGTAGGGAACTTACTACAGAGTATGAGTGCCCCAGTTCAGACATAGACTTCTGTCCTTGGCAAAATGAGGAGGCTCAAGGAGGTGGCCACCACAGTTTCTTCTTAGGTTGATTCTGGCCATTTTGGAGTTGTCTGAAAGGAAGAGGGGCTCTTTGAGAGAGGTAATAGTATTGTGAAGGGAATCATTTTTACACAAATCTCCAAGCTTCATTTCTTTTAGCTGATGATGGTCTCTTCATGTTACCTGGTCCTGCTCACACTGCTTTAAGCTGTTTATTGAAACAGAATTGCTGATTTTTTTATTTTTTATTTTTTTGCCTCCTTCAACAGTGTTGGTGGAATGTAGCTATTTTAATTTTCGTGCTGTAGCTAAAAGAGCACTATTTTGTAGAGAGGAAATAGTAGGCCCTGATGAATTATTTCTGGGGACTGGCTGTCCAGCAACCCAAGTGCAACAGGATGAACTTGTGTTTGACTATCCTACCTCTCTCTGCGGAATTACAACACAGGTAAGAGGTGCAACTGTTTCACCCAGTGCCATCTGTAAAGGCTTTGGAAGTGTTGCTTTCTGTCTGTTTTATTAGAATATGCTACTCACACTGCTAATTGGGGCCATAGACTGGGTGGGAGCCTAGCAAGATCATAAAGAACATTTTTCTCCCTTCTCATTCATACACCAAAGACCTGCTATGTCCAGGACATGAGAGTAAATATGAAACTCAAAGAGCTTTCTCTCAAGAAGCTTACAGTCTGTTAGGGTAGAACACCTATTTTATATAGCATGATATATTACCCAGCATTTTCACACATTTTATAATCCTCACAGTTCTATGTAATTCATGTCATTCCCACTTATACAGATTAAGGAATTCATGTACAAAGGCCAGTGATGTAACTGAACTCACAAAATTAATATATAGCAGAGCCAGGGCTGGAAACCAAGATTGCTATTGCCTATTCTAATAAGTCTTCTGGTTTTTGTTTCTTTATTTTCCTCATTATTATCTTTTTCTTTTTTTTTTTTTTTTTTGGTGCTTGGTTGTGTTTTGTTTTTTCCTATTAAGACTCTGGGACAAGTGAGTATAGAATGTATGTATAACAGTGGTAAAAAGGAAATTACCAGAAAGTTAGGAGGAAAGAATGATCCCGAAGGGTCTTGAACTAGAAGACTTCTTGTTCTTCTCTATCTCACAAAAGATTATTGAAAATGTATCCATATTATTTCAGTGTCAGAGTAAGTAAACATCTGGGAAAGTTCTGACATAGGATATGTCTATCACACCAAAGATAAGTATAATATATCCAATTTATCTCATCTTAATCTGCACTGCTTTAAACATGAGGCTCGATATGTTCTGCCAAGAACTTGACTTTCAAGTTGGAAGCCACACATTGACATGAGGTTCTTGCAGTGGATCCTCTTCACTGACCCACAGCTATCATGGTCTGAGAGCTCATGTTTATGCTTGTCCAGAATATGCCTCACACCAGCTCTGTGTCCACCAAAGCAAGGTGTCAGTGACTCACGTATGCTCTGCTACGCCTGCTGTGGAGAGATCCAAGGCATTTTGAGACACTTTTAGTGGTTAAAAGCACGTGTCACTCCTAAAGCCCTCAACAACAGCCTATATCAGTGGTTATCAACTGGGGGCAACTTTGCCCCACAGGGAACATGTGGGGACATTTTGGGTTGTCATAACTGGGGGTGCAATTGGTGCTACTTGCATCTCCTGAGTAGAGGCAAAGGATGCTGCTAAACATCCTACAATTCCAAGGATAGCCCCCACAATAAGAATTAGCCAGCCCAACATGGCAATATTGCCAAGGTTGAGAAACCCTGGCCTAAACTCTTGCCTTCTCTCCACCTCTGTGTTCTAAATAGCCTTTCATTGAGCAACTTAGAATCAGTACAATTGAAACAGCCTAACCTCTGCCTTTATTGCCATACAATCCAGGTGAGAGCATTTCATATGTTGTAAATTGCCTTTTTCTGTCTTACCCTTGATTTGAATAGCTGAACCAGGTAAATAATTTACTATAATTCATCCACCTTACAAGACACTATACAGCTAATAAAATTAATGATAATTTAATGACATGAGAACTTCTCTATTAAAGTGAAGGAAAAAAAAGGATGTTGTCATTGTTAGGTGCTGTGAAGTCAG